ATCAGCTCTGGGGTGAGGGTGCTTCAGGCCAGCACTCTGGCAGTCTGCCCAACTGACAGTGAACTGAAATTGGGTTGGGGAAGAAGAATTCCAGAAAGCAGGCTTATTATCAAGGCCTCGCAACCAAGTTGACAGCAGAGAAACTGAAATGGGAGCTGCATTTTCCAATTCCCCATGCAGAAAGTGAAGGAGAAAACATCTATAGGCCCAGATGTAATTACATCGTTTCCACTCTCAACCAGAAAGAGCAGAAAAGTGGCTGTGAGGGAAGTCTCCTCAGAGCATAGCTGGTCACCAACCAGAGGCCGGACTGGAATGGGAATATTCAGTTCAAAATGAAAATACCACCATGAAGAGACTCCACTTCCTGCCAGAAGGAGCTCACGCAGCACCTCTGGTGGTATGTTCCTCGCTGATTCATGCCAAAAACTTTTACTGAAATTGGAGCAACCAACAGCAAAGGGAGTCTGAGCCAACGTTCAGGCTCGTCGTGTTATAAAGGAGCTGAGAGACAATGTGGTCGGTTTTATTAGACTCATGTCCCACCTAACGTCCATTGTTCACTTCTGCTCCGTGTCCCAGAGCTCTATTCCAAGCCCACGCTGAAATTACATTTCTGGGTTAATAACCAGGACAGGAAAATAAATCACGTCTGCCCTAGGAGTGAACCCAAAACCAAAAGCTGCCAGAGAGGAATTTGTGAGTGGAGTTTAGAGGCAACTTTAATTCTGAAGGAAATGAACCTTTAAAAAGAAAATCCAAATAGCAATCTACGTAGACAAAACATTCATCTGCACTGCCTCAGTTAATTTGGGGGCCTTTCATAACTTTTGTTTTCTTAGGTGGCTATCTGCCAGAGCAAAACTTCTCTCATAAGATGGCAGATGGCTTGGGGCCAGATACAGTAACAGTAAAAACACGTGTGCCCGGGCTTCGTCCGATCCTCCGGTGTACTTCCATTTCGTAAAGGGAACTAACTCCATCACAATCTACCAATAAAAAACTAAATCATTTGTCCAATTCCATTTCTTTCTTCTGCCTGGGTTTTAGCTTGGCCAGAAGGGTGGTAGCTTTTGAGGGCATCAACGAATACTAGTCTAGAGAGTCACACCAAGTGAAAAGGTTCTGTGATGGGCTAGAGATCAGTTCTGCACACCAGTGATGTGGGAAGCACACCAGAGCATGGCCACCATGCTTTTTTCCAGTGAGGCCAACACAAGGCCCCTCTACAGACAATTACAAGCCCACCTCTACCTACCAGGATCAAAGAGGATACATCTACCCAGTAGCAGCAATGGTAACACCAAAGAACATCTTTGCCGCTAAAGTAGCGTGGTCCAATAGAAATGTCTCAGAGACAAAGATGTAATTTTTTAAAACATATTTTTATTGATTTCAGAGAGGAAGGGAGAGGGAGAGAGAGCTAGAAACATCAATGATGAGAATCATCAATTGGCTGCCTCCTGCATGCCCCTCACTGGGGATCAAGCCCGCAACCGGGCATGTGGCCCTGATTGGAATCGAACCCAGGACCCTTCAGTCCGCAGGCCAACGCTCTATCCACTGAGCCAAACCGGCTAGGACCACAGATGTAATTTTAAATTTTCTGGTGGCACTTAAAAAGGGCAAAAGAAACTGGTAAAATTAACTTCAATATTATATTTTATCTAACTCTGTGTATCTAAAACATCATTTTAGCATCTAATCAATACGTAAAACATTATTAATGAGACATTTTACTTTAAAAAAAAATCAGGTATTGTTCAGTTGTGGCACAATAGGTGTGTCTAGTGGCTACCATATCAAACAGCAGAATTCAGAATGTTTTACAAGATAATTGTTTGGTGAGTATAAACTCAAAAAGCTTTTTATTGCACCATTCATTCACCCAATACCCCAATAAAGTAACTAAGAGATATCAGTTCCATGGTTGACAAATAAAGACTTCAAAAAAAAAAAAAAGCGGGTGGGGGGGCCGTGGGGGGAAGCTGACACATTTACCTGAAATCAAACCATAAACACACTTGGAAAAACTCTGGTCATGTGAAGCCTGAAATTTGCTATAGAAGGCTAAGCCTTCCATGTTTGTGCACATCCAACACAGGCTCTTCTCATTAAAAACATGGCAGATTCCCAAATCTCCACTTATTTCAAATTGATACCTAGTTTTTTCAGCTCCACAATCCCATCCATTCTTTTTCAGATAGCTGGCAACTTCATTCCCTCTCCTAGAAACCTACTCCAACCCTTCCTTTTCTATTTTGTCAAAAGCCAGACGAAACAGTTCACGCTTAAACTCTACAGCTGGAAATTATAAGGGAATTCTGAACGAAGTTGTAATAAAGCTTTTAGGTATAATGAAAAGACCACCAGACTAAATAGTAAACATTCACTTAATATTAATTTCGAATCTCAAAGTAACAGGTAAACTTTTAAAAAGGAAAAACACAGAGTTAAAGCACCATATCCTAGAATAATATAACTATAAATTGTACTTTCAATCAATTAAAAAGAATCAAAGTTCTTAAAAACAAAAAAAATTTCAAAAAGACCACCCATAGAGTAAATTTGCATAGGAAAAGGATCACAGATTGAGCACAGACTTGGTTCAACTTCTAGCCGAACCACTATGTGCCTTGAGTAAATGTTTAGCTCTTCTGAGACCCATGATCATCTGTAAAAAGGATATTTCATAAACTCTACCCCTCATACAGTTACTGCAAAGCTTACACAAAATAAAACACTGTAATCAGCACTTATTGGGGTGCTAATAAATAATAAACATCAGTTAACTCCCAGCCCCCGGCCCCAGTCATTTCTTTAGGTTGTATAAAGCAGAACATACTAATACAGGGCTGAGGCCAGGAAGGACTTCATTCATATGAAGTGGAAGAACCTTGGACTTTATCCTGTTGGTGGGGAGGAGAGCAAACAACAAGGTTGTCATTGGAAACCAAAGAATTGGGAGGAGTGACATAGAGGAAGGAAAACTGTGGCAAGAAACCAAAGGAAGGGGGTCACTTTATACGGCAGCAGATCAAAATAAATAAATATTACCACACTGGATTTACCCATCATGTCTGCCATCTTTTCTAGAAATACAAGAACACATGGAGAAAGAAACATCTTACAAGGACCTTCACAGAAAAGAGGAATTTATTAAACATCCTGGGGTAAGAAATGTTGGTAAATTATCATTTCACTGGGAAAACGTGCCCCATGATTGGGTTTTCCTATTTCATATCAAAGCAGGAAACTAACTGAGTGTGGTATCAAAGAAAAACCAGTAACGAAATCACAATATCATTTCATCTTCACTGTTCGGAGCTTAGAACCACACGGAGCCCTTCTCCTCTCCCCCAGAGCAAGGGAGAGAAGAGAATGGGGCCAAGTCCCTAACCAGCATCTCATCCCACCCAACACCACTGCAAGGGACATTAAAAAGAGAAAAATTCAAATCTTTCCCGTTATTGTCATGTAATTAACTTCATAGTAATTTTTTAAGGTGAAAATAAATGGCCTTTGAAAAATCTACCAGAGAAATGGCAAAAGCTAAAGAGAGAAGACAGAAAGAGCAGGGGTTTGGGAGTGAAGGCGTAGGATCAAGACACCAAGTAGAAATTCTAGGGGAAATCCAATTCTAGGAAGCCCAGTGGGAAAGTATTACAAGTGGACAGTTTGGGGATTAAAAGCAGAAATGTGTGCCTTTCCAGAAAATCGTGTTATTGAAGTTTTAAACCCTTTTAACCTTTTTTTTACTCATAGTCTACAGCTCAAAAAAGTACTCTAAATAATTAGCTGCCACAGATAAGGGAAAGCAATTCTTAGCACTAAATACCAGGTAGGCTTGGCGGCAATCCAACATCAAGACTTCTTTGCCGGGCACCATCCCTCACGGGTACTGTAGTTTCTTCTTTATATCATAACTTATTCTTGGGTTTCCACATTAACTCAATCAATTTCTCTCAAAAAAGGCTCAGCTCTTAATCACTTAATCAGTTCTTAATTGTCTCCACTTTCAGTTAGATAAATAAACAGAAATGGGATCTGAATGTCTGCAAAAAATCACTTAGCTTTCAAACAGAAGTGGAAAATCTGCCTAAGACAATATCAGAAACTTCCAAGAGGTTTTAAAATTAAGCAAGGCTACTCTTCTAATACTAGTATCAGAGGCAAAAAAATCTATTTTTATCCGATGTGAAAAAAGGATATGAAACAGGGAAAAATGGAAATGTAGATGGGTGTCATAAAAATGTATCAAGAGCACCTGCCCAACCCTTTGCATAATTACAGGACACAACAATAAGATGAGGTGGAGTTCTGTCTGTGAAGAAACAATAAGCTCTGAACTCTTGAGGTCTCTATAACTTGTACTTTTTTTTTAAGTTGGAAGAGGAATATTCTAATAGCCTTTTCATATAATTATGAATATTCTTTGACATGACACCAAAATTTGACAAGTTGTAATTCCTCCCCCTCTCCCCCCCCCGTTTTTATTGAGATATGACTGACATATAACATTGTGTAAGTTTAAGGTACACAATGTGATTATCTGATATACATATATATTGCAAATAATTACCACCATAAGGTTAGTTAACACATCCATTACTTCACATAGCTACCATTTGTGTGTGTGTGTGTGTGTGTGTGTGATAAAAACATTTCTATCTTTACATTTAAGCATGTTCTTTTCCTCTCAGATATTTATTACGCATCTACTATGTTCCAGCGATGTGCTGCTTTTCCCAGATAACCTCTGAGTCCGTCAGTCATGCTCTTCTCTCACAGCTGCCCCAGCAACGAGCACGGTGCTGAGTTCAGAGCCACGCTCAGTAAGTACCTGTGAACACATTCCTTTAAGTGAACACAGGAGAACGTAGATGGTCAGCACAATGACCTAGCACAGAGACCTTGTGAAAGGTGCCCACTTCTACAGCAGCCTGCCTCTGGTTACCAATCCGTGGCCCCGCCTGGCCGATTCACCACACGGTACATACCTGTCCACTGAGGGGGGCAGCGGCAGTTGTAGGTATTGACCCCATCCACACAAACCCCTCCGTTCTGACACCGGTGGTTGGGGCAGTCATCAATATTCCGCTCACAGGTGCTGCCTTCAAAACCTGGTGAGAGAGAGCAAGAGAAAACGATGAACTCTCTGAAGAAGAATTGATCTCTCTTCTCCCGTAGGACAGGGTCATCGAACAGCCCTACTTCACTATTTCAGTTCAGCAGCCAGCAGCTGCTCAACCCAGGACTCACTCCATTAACAAAAGTCCCCAATCTTCTGCCTTCTCTTGCCTCCAGCATAGCTAGACAGTTGGAGTGACTCATTATGCCAATGGCATGCTTTCGCAGTTACCTCATAAGTATTTCAAAGTGTTTCATGAAATAAAAGCCCAGTGAAGATAAATCTCCACTTGGGACAGCTTTTTACTGGTTCTTAACAAAAGGATATTAGATTTACCCCAGCTCCAAGCTAGATTAATGAGAAGAACAGATAAAAGCTTATCTCATTAGATTTAAATCCCCTCCCCCCCCTTAGGATGATTGTTTGGGAAAACTAGATGGGGATGAAAGGCGTAAGAAAAATACTGAACTTAAAGTCTGAAGATATAAGTCAAGTTCCAACCTCACTACCTATTCGTATAAGCTACTTAACACATGGTAAATTCCTAACTCTGAATCAGCTTCCTCGTCTGTAAAATGAGGCTGACTCCACCTGCCTGGCCTGCTTTTCTAGGTTGTTATAAGTGCCGCATTACAAGCCAAATGCAAAAGAAATATAAAAAGCTATCTTAAAATGGGGTGGCATTCTTACTAATTAAACTTCCCAAACCTTCAAATTCTTCACCCACCTCTCTACATTTATAGCATTGCTTCCTTCCTCTTGATTTTCGCCATTTATGAAAAATGAAACTAGCACCTCAAACTTCACCCCAACTAACCACAGCAATTTATATATTAGGCTTCCCCCCCCCCTCCTTCCTACCAAATCCCTTAACTATTAAAATAGAAGACTACCAGCTTTAAAACGAGAGGATGTTCACTAAGCATTGTCCTACTTGATATATAGTACGACTATGTACTTGGCCTTTTCAAAATGTCCCTTAAGGTTCCTCTCTCACACTCAACACACTTACTGAGTCTTATACGAGGCACTGGGGATATAACAGAGAGTGCAAGAGACAGAGCCCCTGCTTTGGGGGCATTTACAGCCCGGTGGCTGGGAAAGACATCAATCACGCCGTGCTTTGTTCATTATATCACAAGCTACTGTGGTAGTTAGCCTACATCTGCTCTGCTACACTGGAACACCGCTCGTTTCTCTGAATGCAGCGGCAGTCATGTGCGTGAGTACAGACCAAGTGGCCACAGTGATTTCCCAGAGACCAAAGGAAATCAGCTCAGAGAAGATGGGGAGGAATGAAAGCCTGACTGAAGAGAATTCTGGGCCTCTCTGAATTTGGTACTCAGGCCATTCAAGCAGATGAATCACGAAGTAAGCTTGAGAAAGACTATGAAAATTTTTATAGACTCAGATTTGTAAAAATGTATCATGTTACTCATATATCTGTTTAATTCCTATGAACATCTTACAAACAGGCTGAGTCAGAAAATGTTACGATAAAGCGAGGGCAGATCTGCACATCTGCCAAGCAGCAGTTCCTGAACAAGAGCTGAGGTCTGTGTTCCTAGTCCAGTGCTGTTAATGGAAACAGCCTTAAGAGAAGTGAAAGATTCCATTTCAGGGTGTGGGAGGGCCACAGGGCTCCTGGCCCACCACAGCTAGAACTTGTGTGGGCTGGTGAGGTTCTAGAACTGGTAATGGTCCTCCTCCCCCTAGTTTGATCTCTCTGGTGACTAAGACTAAATATTATTGACTAGGGTGTCAGTGAGATGTAACCAAACTATAAGGATTGGAAACTGGGACCCTGGATTCATACAAGCCAATGCTACAACTAACTGAATTCACCAACCACAGACAAATTAAGAAAGCAGAAGCATTTCAGCATAACCACAACATATAAGAAAGAAAATGTTCTCTTTGTATGACTGACTGACTGTTTTTGAGGTAGTTCTTCTCTGCCAACAGGTAGAAGAAGAGAGGTGAAGAGAAATTCATGGTTAAAGTGTGCCCTCTGAGGCCAAATTGCCTAAGTCCCCTCTCCTCCCTGCCATGCAATACCCGAGTGAACAGAAAAATACTAAACCTTTCCTCTCTGGGGGAATTAATAGGACCTACCTCAAAGGGATGTTGTAAAGATTAAATGAGTTAGATATTTAAAAAAACCTTAATTCAATAAATGGTGCTGGAACAATTAAATATCGACATGCAAAAGAATAAAGTTGGACCCCTTCCTCACACCATGCACAAAAATTAACTCAGAATGTAAGAGTCAAAATTATAAAACTCTTAGAAGAAAACTCAGGAGTAAATCTCTGTGACTTGGATTAGGTAAAGCTTTCTTAAATATGACCAAAAGCACAAGCAAACGAAAACAGTGTGAGTGTCACCAAAATTAAAAACATTTTGGCTTCAAAGGAAACCATCAAGAATGTGAAAAGACAGCCTACAGAATGAGAAAAAATATTTGCAAATCATATATCTGATTTGTATCTAGGATATATTAAAAACATATATATAATGAAAATACAACATATAATAAATAATATACATATATACAATATAAAATAAATAATAAAATATACAATAATAAAAAGACAACCCAATTACAAATGGGTAAAGGATCTGAATAAACATTTCTCCAAAGATGATATACAAATGGCTGATAAGCACATGAAAAGATGCTTGACATCATCAGCCATCAGGAAAATGCAAATCAAAACCACAGTGTGATATTACTTCACACCCACTAGGATGGTGATAATAAAAAAGATAGATAATAAGTGTTGGTGAGGATGTGGAGAAACTGGGAAACCTCATACACTGTTGGTTAAAATGTAAAATAGTGCAGCCACTTTAGAATAAGCCTGGTAGTTTCTGAAAAGGTTAAATAGTTACCATATCACCTAGTAATTCTTCTCCTAAGTATATATCCAAGAAAAATAAAAACATATATTCACACAAAAACTTGTGCAAGAATGTTCACAGCTGTATTATTCAATGGAATATTATTCAGCCATGAAAAGGAATGAAGTATTGATACCTCCAACAGCATGGATGAACTTTGAAACCATCGAGTGAAAGAAGCAAATCACAAATGACCACATATTATGTGTTTCTATTTATATAAAATGTCCATAACAGGCAAATCTATAGAGACAGAAATTAGATTAATAGTTGCCTAATGCTGGGAGGGAGTTTCGGGGATAGGGAATGACTACTAATGGGTACAGGATTTCCTTTGGAGTGATAAAGTTGACTATGGTGATGGTTACACATATCTGTGAATTAACTAAATACAACTGAATTTTATATTTTAAAAGAGCACATTATACAGTATTCAAATTATATCTCAAAAAAGCTCTTATATTGAGAAAAGCACTTAAAACAATACCTGATGCATAATAAGTGTTCTACATTTATTAGCTATTACTGTTAATCAGTGGGATCAAAGCATCCCTTGGAGGTTATACACTCTAATCCTCTTATGTTACAGATGAAGGAGCCGAGGGACACACGCCAAGTTTGCATGACTAGTAGGTAGGAGTCTGTACTGCATTAAGAACTTCACCCAGTTTTGATCAGTACGTTCTCGGGACCTTTGAGTTCTCTTTCAACAATCTGAAAAACCGACCTTGGGTCAAAAGTTCCCACGTCTGAGAAAAACTCAAGCCAAACCAGTTCTCCAAAGTTAAGACAGAATTTATGCTTTAAAAATAGAGACACAGAACTCCTTTTGGAAACAGCTAGCAAATTCTTGTAAGGAAGCCTACGCCACGGGGGTGGGTCAGGCTTGTATGAATAAGTTACAGTGCAATCACTTCTGAAAACTATATTTTAAGGTTTTAAGGGAAAGGGAAACAGACGCGTCTCGGACCTGTGTGTGGGATGGGTGTAGCAGACTTACAGAGAGGCTCCCATGACCGTACGAAAAGGAATCTACTGCTGAAAGCCAATTCACGTCCTTAAAAGGCCACAAGGAGAGAAATTAAACTTAGAAGGAACGTTTTAAGGCTGTGCTGTTATAAAACTGTGGGCCATGTAGCTGATAAATAATGACAGTGAGGGTGGGGAGCAGAAGAGAGTCGTTTGAACTTGTCACCCCACACAGAGAACAGCATCCCTCAAGAGAGCATCCGTAGCTTTCCATTTTCAGACGCCGGGAGGTGTGAGGGTGGAAAGGCTGGGTGGAGAGGCACAAAGAAGAAGGTGAGATGGCCGGCCAGGGCTCTCAGGCCAGGCTGAAAGTCATCAGGAAAAGTGTGAGGAAAAACCCAGGGATACCAGGAATGGTGGGGACAAAGGCAAAAAGGTAAACGTCTACAAGTCTATCTCTCCCCCACCCCTGGAAAGAAAGCCTGTCACAAAAGCAACTGGTCCCATTTTCTTAGCACACATCTCTCATCCTCTGAATGAGCCCTGATAAACTCACTGACCTCCATGACTGGCCCATGTATCCTCTGGCCACTCCACCCACCCAGGCTGCACCTCGCTTTGGGATTCCCCTAATGCTTTCCACTTTCCTTTCTAACTTTATCACCAAGGAAGCCACAGAAATGAATAAGGGGATTCAAAAGAAATAAAGTCAGTACATATTTTAACATTATATAATACTAGAGGCCCGGTGCATGAAATTTGTGCACAGGTAGAGTCTCTAGGCCTGACCAGCCATCAGGGCCAATCAGGTTCCCCGCCTCCCCAACTCCTCCTTCCCTCGCTCCCTCAGTGCCCCGCCACTGCTGGTCGCCCGCCATGTTCTGTGCTGCCTCCTGGTGGTCAGCGCATGTCATAGCAATCGATCAAACTCCTGGTCTCCCGGTTGAACTCCCGATGGGATAATTTGCATATTAGCTTTTTATTATATAGGATAGGAATTCTCTTCTCTACCACATTCAGTTCACTGACTTGTCAAATATTCATTGAGTCTCAATTTTGTAGCAGGCACTAAGTTAGGTGCCAGGGAAAATGTTAGAACAAGAGTGTCTATTGGAAAAG